CAAATATTTCAACTAAACACCACAACAAAGTCTTGATATTAGTTTCTTAACATAAAACACAAATTTATTGAACACCCTAAATTTAATCTTAAAAATTGTAAATATTAAAATTTAAAATTTTCAAAAGCTCAAGGTGGACAACCAACCACCCTGGTAAACCCCCTTTCCTTTACCTTTTGGGTGTGAGTTCAGACCATTAATAGTAAAGATTAATTTGTATAATTTAAACGGTTTAAAGCTAATTTAAATTATTTTAGGGGTTTGAAATCCTATTTGCATTATTTTTAACTCAGAAACTCATGGATTAATTTAGAGTAAACTTGGGAGGTTAAGAGGCAATTTTGCTAGCTCTTGCTAGGTCAAGGTAAATTCACACTTCACAGCATCATAGTCGCACAACAGACAATAAACAAGTTGTAAATTAAGGGCTAAAACATACTTTTAGCCATTTATCTTAATAAATTTGTAAGTTTTGACCCCTTACTTTATACTATGACACTTTTAGCTTTTTACCTTAATAAATTTGTAGATTTTAACTCATCACCTTATATTATGACACTTTTAGTCCCCACCTATACGAATTGAAGAAAATAACCCTTACTTAAGGTCAGATTATAACGCTCTATTAATTTTATTAACTGACTGTTGACTCTGTTAGTTGATTATTAGTGTTCTGTTAATATTTCGTTAATAATACTAACAAATAAAATTTAATTTAATTTCATAATTTCTATAATAGAATGCTAACGGATGCTAACGGATGCTAACAGTCAACTAACAAAGCTAACAGTTAACTAACAAAACTAACATAATGTTATAACCTGATATTAAATGAGAGTTATTTCCTTCAATTCGTATAGGTAACAAACTAAAAGTGTTATAGTATAAGGTGTTGAGTTAAAACTTACAAACTTATTAAGGTAAATGGTTAAAAGTGTCGTAATATAAGGTGAGGGGTTAAAATCTATAAATTTATTAAGGTAATGAGTTAAAAGTAGGTTTTTGCCTAAATTAATGTAGTATCCACTAACAAACAATTATTTGTTATTAATTCAAGGGTTTAAAGTCTTAAAATAATCAATTCCAAAAGATGATAAAAAAAATTACTCTAA